TGCAAAAGTTTACAACAAGACTAGTCCTGGAGCTAAGGAATATGTCCTACGAGGAAAGGTTAAGGGAAATCAACCTGACGACACTGGAAGACAGGAGGAATAAGGACGACATGATAACGACATATAAAATACTGAGAGGAATTGACAAGGTGAATAGGAACAGAATGTTCCAGAGATGGGGCACAGCAACAAGGGGTCAGAACTGGAAGCTGAAGACTCATATATGAGTAACAGAGATATTAAGAAGTATTTCTTCAGTCACAGAGTAGTCAGGAATTGGAACAGTCTGGAGAGTGATGTAGTGGAGGCAGGATCTACACATAGCTTTAAGAAGAGGTATGATAAAGCATAAAGCTCATGGAGCAGGAGAGTGTAGACTAGTACCTAGTGGCGACCAGTGAAGAGGAGGGGCCAAGAGGTGTGAGTGGACCCCTGCAGCGACAATTAGATGAGTACACACACACACTCTCTCACACACACACACACACTCTCTCTCTCTCTCTCTCACACACACACACACACACACACACAGTCAAAACGAAAATACGGACATAAACACAAAATTCGACAACTCACACAAAATTTGCATATGGAGATTTGTAGGAGGGAGGAATGTCTCGTGATGGTACAACCTGTGTTCCAATGTTGGTACAACCTGTGTTCCAATGTTGGTACAACCTGTGTTCCAATACTGGTACAACCTGTGTTCCAATGTTGGTACAACCTGTGTTCCAATGTTGGTACAACCTGTGTTCCAATACTGGTACAACCTGTGTTCCAACACTGGTACAACCTGTGTTCCAATGTTGGTACAACCTGTGTTCCAATGTTGGTACAACCTGTGTTCCAATACTGGTACAACCTGTGTTCCAATGTTGGTATAACCACAACACCACCACCACCGCTACAAGCACTACCAGAACAACAACACCACCACAAAACACCACCACAACACTACCACAACACCACCACAACACCATCACAACACTACCACAACACCACCACAACACTACCACAACACTACCAAGGGAACCAACACATCACAGTAAACTAGAAGAGATGAACCACAGACACAATAAGAGTGGGCAGTGAGGGAGAGGCGAGTGTATAGACAGTGATACCTTGGTTGATCCTGTGTCACTGACCATGATGGTACTTCCCATACACAGGATGGTTGATCCTGTGTCACTGACCATGATGGTACTTCCCATACACAGGATGGTTGATCCTGTGTCACTGACCATGACTGGACCTCCCATACACAGGATGGTTGACACTGTATCACTGACCATGACTGTACCTCCCATACACAGGATGGTTGACACTGTATCACTGACCATGATGGTACCTCCCATACACAGGATGGTTGACACTGTATCGCTGACCATGATGGTACCTCCCTTACACAGGATGGTTGACACTGTATCACTGACCATGATGGTACCTCCCATACACAGGATGGTTGACACTGTATCACTGACCATGATGGTACCTCCCATACACAGGATGGTTGACACTGTATCACTGACCATGATGGTACCTCCCATACACAGGATGGTTGACACTGTCACTGACCATGATGGTACCTCCCATACACAGGATGGTTGACACTGTATCACTGACCATGATGGTACCTCCCATACACAGGATGGTTGACACTGTATCACTGACCATGATGGTACCTCCCATACACAGATGGTTGACACTGTATCACTGACCATGATGGTACCTCCCATACACAGGATGGTTGACACTGTATCACTGACCATGATGGTACCTCCCATACACAGGATGGTTGACACTGTATCACTGGTCATGATGGTACCTCCCATACACAGGATGGTTGACACTGTCACTGACCATGATGGTACCTCCCATACACAGGATGGTTGACACTGTATCACTGGCCATGATGGTACCTCCCATACACAGGATGGTTGACACTGTATCACTGACCATGATGGTACCTCCCATACACAGGATGGTTGACACTGTCACTGACCATGATGGTACCTCCCATACACACTCTCCCTCTGTATGTTAATTGGGGCTCTGGTGGCCTGGTGGGTAAAGCTCTCGCTTCACACGGCGAGGGTCCGGGTTCAATTCCCAGCCAGAGTAGAAACATTAGGGGCGTGTTTCTTTACACCTGTTGTCCCTGTTCACCCATCAGTAAAATGGATACCTGGGTGTTAGTGGACTGGTGTGGGTCGCATCCTGGGACAAAACTGACCTAATTTGCGGGAAATGTTCAGCATAACAAGCAGCTTTCTATATAGTAGTATGTCACTGATGTCAGCTATGGTCTGTATACCTTGTACTTGTAATAAATAAAGATATTATTATTTGTGGGAGCCTCAAGCTTTTGACGAAGTTTGGGTCCGACTTGGACTGTTGTGTAGTCACTGTGTCTGCCAGTAGTTTGTTTCTTGCCTGTCTGTGTATGATTGCTGATTATGTTTACCTGTTTCATGCCTCTCTGTGTCTGTCTGCTGGTTATACGTCTGTTATACGTCTGTCTGTCTGTCTCTAGCCTCGCAAGTGTAAACAAAAATTGTTCGAGGATTTGTCAATAAATGTCTGTGTAGAAGACAATCACACTGTCCTGAAGGGGAGGCTGACTCCACAATGACATTTGCATACCGTGAGAAAGAGAGAAAAGAGAGAGAGAGAGAGAGAGAGAGAGAGAGAGAGAGAGAGAGAGAGAGAGAGAGAGAGAGAGAGAGAGAGAGAGAGAGAGAGAGAGAGAGAGAGAGAGAGAGAGAATCTCCTTCAGGTTTAATGCCGTAAATAACGTTTCTAATAACGGAAGTAAATTGCCTAAACTCGCCTTCCTCAGTACCCAGGTACCGTGTACCCCCTCTCTCTCTCTCTCTCTTCTCTCTCTCTCTCTCTCTCTCTCTCTCACACACCGTGTACCTTCCTCTCACTCCGTGAACCTACCTCTCACACTGCATACCTGCCTTTCACATCGTGTACCTGCCTCTCACACCGTGTACCTGCCTCTCACATCGTGTACCTACCTCTCACACCGTGTACCTACCTCTAACAGTGTAATTGCCTCTCACACTGAGTACCTGCCTCTCACACCGTGTACCTACCTCTCACACCGTGTACCTACCTCTAACACAGTGTACCTGCCTCTCGCACCATGTATCTACCTCTCACACCGTGTACCTGCCTCTCACACGTGTACCTACCTCTCACACGTGTACCTACCTTAACACAGTGTACCTGCCTCTCGCACCATGTATCTACCTCTCACACCGTGTACCTGCCTCTCACACCGTGTACCTGCCTCTCACATCGTGTACCTACCTCTCACACCGTGTACCTACCTCTAACAGTGTAATTGCTCTCACACTGAGTACCTGCCTCTCACACCGTGTACCTACCTCTCACACCGTGTACCTACCTCTAACACAGTGTACCTGCCTCTCGCACCATGTATCTACCTCTCACACCGTGTACCTGCCTCTCACACCGTGTACCTACCTCTCACATCGTGTACCTACCTCTCACACCGTGTACCTACCTCTAACAGTGTAATTGCCTCTCACACTGAGTACCTGCCTCTCACACCGTGTACCTACCTCTCACACCGTGTACCTACCTCTAACACAGTGTACCTGCCTCTCGCACCATGTATCTACCTCTCACACCGTGTACCTGCCTCTCACACCGTGTACCTACCTCTCACATCGTGTACCTACCTCTCACACCGTGTACCTACCTCTAACAGTGTAATTGCCTCTCACACTGAGTACCTGCCTCTCACACCGTGTACCTACCTCTCACACCGTGTACCTACCTCTAACACAGTGTACCTGCCTCTCGCACCATGTATCTACCTCTCACACCGTGTACCTGCCTCTCACACCGTGTACCTACCTCTCACACAGTGTACATAATTCCAACAACAGGCACGGATCACAGCGCATTTCAGCGTAAAATACCACATTACAACGAATTAGTGCGCATTTATGAGAACTGGTGCGTATGATTCCTGTATCTGTAACACATATTCACGCGTACTGGTGCGTAACCTTACGGTGGCAGTAACTCAAAATAGCGTATTGTTTAGTGTTACTGCTATATTTATATATATATATATATATATATATATATATATATATATATATATATATATATATATATATATATATATTTATATAAAGAACATAAGAACGAAGGAACACTGCAGAAGGCCTACTGGCCCATGTGAGGCAGGTCCAAGTCTCCTACCGGCTTAAGCCAATGCACCCAACCTAGTCAGGTCAGGTCACATTGACTTAAGGGAGGAACACGGCAACAGACCTGGTAGCTCAAGCTATCAGGTCCAACTCACACCCACCCACATCCACTCATGTATTTATCCAACCTATTTTTAAAGCTACACAACGTTCTGGCCTCTATAACTGTACTCGGGAGTTTGTTCCACTCATCCACAACTCTATTACCAAACCAGTACTTTCCTATATCCTTTCTGAATCTGAATTTTTCCAACTTAAAACCATTGCTGCGAGTCCTGTCTAGGCTAGATATTTTCAGCACACTATTTACATCCCCTTTATTTATTCCTGTCTTCCATTTATACACCTCAATCATATCCCCCCTAATTCTACGTCTTTCTAGAGAGTGCAGTTTCAGGGACCTCAGTCTATCCTCATAGGGAAGGTTTCTGATACATGGGATCAACTTTGTCATCCTCCTTTGTACATTTTCCAGAGAATTTATATCCATTCTGTAATACGGTGACCAAAACTGTGCAGCATAATCTAAATGAGGCCTAACCAAGGACATATAGAGTTGAAGAACAACCTGAGGACTCCTATTATTTATGCTTCTTGATATGAAGCCAAGGATATTATATAATATATATATATATATATATATATATATATATATATATATATATATATATATATATATATATATATATATATATATATATATAATATATATAAAATATTTTTTGTTGAGTGCCATAATGTACTTACCAATGTAGTCTAGGTCAGGCTGGGTCATCTTTGGCACTCTGGAGGTCCAAGGTTGTACTGTGATGCTCTCGTGGCCCTCTCCCTCTGACACCTTTTCTGTAACACAAAGAAAAAGACACTTTCACCATTATTTGTTCAGTAGCTGTCTTGCTACAAGTGTGTGTGTGTGTGTGTGTGTGTGAGAGAGAGAGAGAGAGAGAGAGAGAGAGAGAGAGAGAGAGAGAGAGAGAGAGAGAGAGAGAGAGAGAGAGAGAGAGAGAGAGAGAGTAAATTCATTTAAAACAATAATTAAATATTAATTCGTTCACTTGGAGTTGCTGCTTAATTTAGATGATGTAAGATATACACAGAGTCACGTTGATGTTGCAGTTGCAACATCAATCATGCATCAACACAACATCAACACACAGTATTATAACAACAACAACACGTCAACAGTACAACAATAACATCAACAATGTTCCATCAACATTGATGTGCTTTCTGCAACACGCTGCAACACCCATAAAAAATTTTTAAGTTGCATTTAAGCTTCAGTATTGCTATTTAAAAAACACAGGTCCTGGCGAAGGCAAAGATTCTTCTCAGATTTCTCTCTTTCACTCAGATTTCTCTCTCTCGCTCAGATTTTTCAATCTCACTCTCCCAGATTTCTCTCACTCAAATTTTTCTCTCTAAGATTTTTCTCTCTCACCCTCAGATTTCTCTTTCTTACTCTCAGATTTTTTCTCTTTCAGATTTCTTTCAATCTCACTCAGATTTCTCTCTCGCCCACACACCTGCCCCTCTCACCCACACACCTGCCCCATTTCTCACTCACACACCTGCCCACTTTCTCACCCACACACCTGCCCCCTTTCTCACCCACACACCTGCCCCCTTTCTCACTCACACACCTGCCCCTTTCTCACCCACACACCTGCCCCCTTTCTCACACACCTGCCCCCTTTCTCACTCACACACACCTGCCCCCTTTCTCACTCACACACCTGCACCCTTTCTCACTCACACACCTGCCCCCTTTCTCACCCACACACCTGCCCCCTTTCTCACCCACACACCTGCCTTCTACTCCCTCCGCCAGGTATAAAGTTGAAGCCACAGGCGTCATTAACGAGCAACAGTGAGTGGGTGACAAACAATTAGCAAGGTGGTGCCAATTACACCCTATTTCCTGGGCAGTGAGAGCAGAGAGAGAGAGAGAGAGAAAGAGAGAGAGAGAGAGAGAGAGAGAGAGAGAGAGAGAGAGAGAGAGAGAGAGAGAGAGAGAGAGAGAGAGAGAGAGAGAGAGAGAGAGAGAGAGAGGCAAAAATTGTGAAAATTCTTGATGCAGGTGTTGCCAGTTCTCGACGTAGGTGTTCTTATTTTAAAGACACGCTGCTGCAGGTGTTGCTGGCAACACCTGCAGGTTTGTAAGACACGTGTGCAACAGTCGGGTATCCTTATTGTTGAAACGTTTTGCTTATACAGTAGACTTCTTCAGTCAAATACAGAGACATCAAGTGTAGTAGCGAAATGAAGATGATGTAACCAGTCGTGGAGAAATGATATTCGAGGTGGTCAGTCCCTCAGTCTGAGGGTTGTCAAGCACCACAACCACCCCTATATACAACATTCTCCCCCCCCCCATTTCTCCAACATCTCACCCTTCTCTAATATCTTCTTCCCCTCCCCAAGAACCCTCCTTCCCCAACAGAAAGCCACACCAGGGTCCTGGTGGTCAAGACCACACCAGACCTGGTGGTGAAGACCACACCAGACCTGGTGGTCAAGACCACACCAGACCTGGTGGTGAAGACCACACCAGACCTGGTGGTCAAGACCACACCAGACCTGGTTGGTATGACCACCCACAGACCTGGTTGGTCAAGACCACACCAGAACTAGGTGTTGTGTCAAGACCACACCAGACCTGGTGTCAGACCACACCAGACCTGGTCGGTCAAGACCACACCAAGACTCTGGTGGTCAAGACCCACACCCAGACCTGGTGGCAAGAACACACAGACCTTGGTGGCAAGACCACACCAGACCATGGGCGGGTCAAGACCACACCAGGGACTGTGTGGATCAAGACCACACCAGACCTGGTGTTCAAGACCACACCAGACCTGGTGGGTCTAGACCAAACCAGGACCTCGGTGGTCAAGACGCCACTCACCATACCTTGGTGGTTCAAGGACCACACCGGACCTGGTGGTCAAGGATCCCCACCAGCACTGGTGGTCAAGACCACACCAGACCTGTGTTTGGTTTCAAGAACACACCAGACCTTGTTGGTGATGAATGTTACCACACCAGACTGAGTGGCTCAAGACCACACCAGACCTGGTGGTGTTTGTTCGAAGTCACCACACAGACTGAGTGGTGAAGACCACACCAGACGTGGTTGTGCTGAAGACCACACCAGCAACCTGGTGGTCAAGACCACGAACCAAGACGTGTGGTGGTAAGACCACACCAGTACTCTGGTGGTTCAAGACCACACCAAGACCTGGTGGTGAAGACGTCACACCAGGAAACTGGTGTGGTCAAGGACCACACCAGACCTGGTGGTCAAGACCACACCAGACTTCTGGTAGGTCAAGACCACACCAGATCCTGGTGGTTGAAGACCCAACCATACCTGGTAGGTGAGACCACACCGACCTGGTGGTGAAGACCACACCAAGGACCTGCGTGGTCAAGACCACACCAGTCCTGGTGAGTCAATGACCACAGGCCACGACCAGGTGTTGAAATGACTCACACCAGACCTGTGGTAGGTCAAGACCACACCAGACCTGGTGGGTCAGACCACACCAGACCTGGTGTCAAGCCACACAAGACCTGGTGGTCAAGACCTCACCAGGACCTTGGTGGTCAAGACCACACAGACCTTGGTGGTGAAGCACACAACAGACCTGTTTGTGGTTCAAGACCACACCAGACCTTGGTGGGTGAGATCAACCAGACCTGGTGGTGAAGACGCACACCAGACTGTGTGGTGAAGACCACTACCAGACCTGGTGGTAAGACCACACCAGACCCTGGTGGTGAACACCACCACCAGGACCGGTGTGTTGAAGACCACACCAGAACCTTCGGTGGTCAAGACCACACCAGACCTGGTGTGTGAAGACCCACACCAGACCAGGTGTGGAAGAAGACCACATCCAGACCGTCCTCGGTGGTCAAACCACACCAGACCAGGCTGGTGAAGGACCTACACCGACTGGTGGTGTGTAGACCCACACCAGACTGGTGGTCAAGACCACACCAGACCTGGTGAGTGAAAAGACCATCACCAAGACATGTGGTGAAGACCCCAACACCAGACCTGGTGGTCAACGCACTCACACAGACCTGGTGGTCAAGACCACTACAGACCCTCGGTGGTGGAAGGACCTACACAGACCTGCTGTGGTAAAGACCACACAGAACTGGTGGTCAAGACCACACCAGACGGTGGTTGAAGACCACACCAGGTACCTGTGTGGTCAGATACCACACCAGACTGGTGTCAAGGACCACACCACGACCCGGGTGTGAATGACCACACCAGACCTGGTGGTCAAGACACCACCAGTACCTTGGTGGTCAAGACCACACCAGACCTGTTTGGTCAAGTGACCTCACCAGAACTGGTGGTTCAAAGTACCACACCAGACAGGTGGTCAAGACCACACCATACCTGCGTGCGTCAAGACCCACACCAGACTGGTGGTCCACGACCACACCAGACCTGGATGGTCAGACCACACCAGAACCGGTGGTCATTAGAGCCACACGCAGACCATTGTGTGGTCATGAACCCACACCAGTCCTGGAGGTCAAGACCACACCAAGACCGGGTGGTCAAGGACCACACCAGACATGGTGGTCAAGACCACACCAGGACCTGGTGGTCAAGACCACTACCAGATGCCTGGTGGTCAAGACCACACAGACTGGTGGTCAAGTACCACACCAGACCTGGTGGTCAAGACCTCACACAGACCTGGTGGTCAAGGACCACACAGACTCTGGTGGGTCAAGACCACACCCGACCTGGTGGTTCGAAGACCACACCAGACCTGGTGGTCAATGACCACACCGACTGGTGGTCAAGACCACACCAGACCTGGTTTGGTCAAGACCACACCATGTCCTGGTTGGTCAAGCACCACACAGACTGGGGTTCAAGACCACACCGGGACCTGGTTGCGTCAAGACCACACCAGACCTGGTGGTCAAGACCACACCAGGCCCTGGTGGTTGAAGACCACACATACCTGGTTGGTGAAGACCACACCAGACCTGGAGGTCAACAAGACCACACCAGACTGGTGGTGGAAACCACACCAGACTGGTGGTGGAAGACCACACCAGAACCTGGTGGTGGAGGACCACCCAGACCTGGTGGTCCAAGGACACACCAGACTGGTGGTGAAGACCGCACACCAGACCTGGTGGTCAGACCACACCAGACCTGGTGGTGAAGACCAACACCAGACCTGGTGGTCAAGATTCCACACCAGACCTGGTGGTCAAGACCACACCAGACCTGGTGGTCAAGACCACCAGACCTGGTGGTCAAGACCACACCAGACCTGGGGTTGGGTCAAGGACACACTCAGACATGGGTGGTCTCAAGACCACACATGACACCTGGTGGTTCAAGACCACACCAGACCTGGTGGTTCCAAAGACCACACCAGACCTGGTGGTCAAGACCACAACCTGGACTGTGTGGTCAAGACCACACAGACCTGTGTGGTTCAAGACCACACCAGACCTGGTGGTCACTCGCTTCAAGACCACACCAGACCTGGTCGTCAAGACCACACCCAGCCTGGTGGTCAAGAACCACACCAGACTGGTGGTCAAGAACTACACACCAGACCTGGTGGTCGAGACCACACCAGACCTGGTGTTCAAGACACAACCGACCTGGTGTGGTCAAGACCCACACCAGAATGGTGGTCAAGACCACCACCAGACCTGGTGGTCAAGGACCACACCAGACTAGTGGTCAAGACCACACCCAGACCTTTGGTGGTCAAGCCACACCAGAACCTGTGTGGTCAAGACCACACCAGAGTACTCGTGGTCCAGACCAACCAGACCTGGTGGTCACGGGACCACACCAGACCTGGTGGTCAAGACCACACCAGACTGAGTTGGTCATGACCACACCAGGGACTGTGTGGTTCAAGACCACACAGACACTGGTGGTCAAGACCACCACCAGACCTGGTGGGTCAAGACCACACCAGACCTGGTGGTCTCAAGACCACTACCTAGAACCTGGTGGTTCCAAGAAAGTATAACCCCCCCCCACACCAGACCTGGTGGTCAAGACCACACCACGACCTGGTGGTCAAGACACACCAGACCTGTCGTGGATCAAGACCACACCAGACCGGTGGTCAAGTGAGCCACACTCAGACCCGGTGGTCAAGAAGTTACACCAGACCCGGTGGTCAAGACTCGTGCACCGACCGGTGGTTCAAGACCACACCAGGACCCGGTGGTCAAGACCACTGACCATACCCGGTGGTCTCAAGACCCCACACCAGACCCGGTGGTCAAGACCAACCAGACTCGTAGTGGTCAAAGGGACCACACAGACCGGTGTGTCATGAGACCACACCTAAGACCCGTGTGGTCAAGACCACACCAGACCCGGTGGTCAAGACCACACCAGACCCGGTGGTCAAGACCACACCAGACCCGGTGGTCAAGACCACACCAGACCCGGTGGTCAAGACCACACCAGACCCGGTGGTCAAGACCTCACCAGACCGGTGGGTCAAGACCACCACCAGACCCGGTCGGTTCCAAGACCTCACACCTGACGCGGTGGTCGCAAGACCACACCAGACCGGTCGTCATAGACCACACCAGGACCGCTGTGGTCACGACCACACAGACCCGGTGGTGTCTCAAGACCAAACCAAGACCGGTGGTCAAGACACACCAGACCCGGTGGTCAAGACCACACCAGACCCGGTGGTCAAGACCACACCAGACCCGGTGGTCAAGACCACACCAGACCCGGTGGTCAAGACCACACCAGACCCGGTGGTCAAGACCACACCAGACCCGGTGGTCGAGACCACACCAGACCCGGTGGTCAAGACCACACCA